GTCTCTTCCTTGTGGTTCATAAACTTGGCTGCCAACGCGGCTCTTCTAACGGGTTAAAAACAGCCCTCGGTGGCCTTAGCCCAGATATCTCGTGTTAATTTGAGTGAAATCCACCCAGACTTTTTCCTCCCCACCCTTCTTCACCTCTTTAATATTTTGTTATTGTTTTGGAAGAAGCACTTTGCTGGAACCTTTCCATGTCTGTGCCGTGTTACCCAATACTTTTAGCAGAGTAAAACATTAAGCCGTGTTGCACCCTAGAATAAACTGATCACTTAGATTTTAGGGGGCAATTTAGTTAATGTCACACTACAATTTACTGAAAAGCCTCTTCTGACACGAATGAGCTTAGGATCGATCGGGCCCTGCATCAGATGAGCAACGTCTGAGCCATTCCTGGTATTCAAACCTGCACATGATTAGAACAGTTTTCTTCCTGAAGTCCATTATTAAGGATTTCATCAACTTGATTTTTACCACATTTTTCTTTTCAGACCCCAAGATACAGCTTTCATTCTGCCAGGGAAGAGAAGGCAAAGGGGAGCTGCCCCAAAGCACACTTTAGCTCCTCTAAAAGCAGGGCAGAACACCAAAGCAGAGAGCCTGAGCATCCTGCATGTGCTGTACAGGCAAACTTTGCTAGGTCAGAGAAGAAGAGGAGGGAATGAAGGCGCTGAAATCAAGCCCAGATTTTTCACTATTACATAAACCAAACAATTCACAGATGACACATTCTCTCATGCCTTGATGCCTTTCTCTGGATCCAAAAGATTAATTTCCTCAACTGGACTAAGCTTGTATTCCTTCACAGTTGTGCTTTCCCATGCTGCTGGCAACGGCAGATTGACTAGAATGAGGAGTGGCTGCTGCAGGGGAAGCATTACAGATAAAAACAAAAACACAAACGAAATGGATTTGAAGGATTCTAGAACACTTTTCTCTGCTGCTAGGAGAAGCAGAAGAGCAGAGAAAAAAATATATATAAAAAAAAAACAAACATGAAAGCAAGAATAAAAACATTAAAATGTGGTGACTGTGCATGCCTGAGAAATGGTGGAAATGAGAACATGTGTGAAAGACCTGGAAACAAAGCAAAGGAGAAAATGAAGGCACACGTGAGACTTTGCCTGCTACCTCGAAAGAAACATATGAAAATTCCTTTTCGCATTCCCACAGAAGCCTGAAATCATTGTCCCAGATACTGCATTGCAAGGAAGAAAATATGTAACAACTTAGGGTGAGGGATTTCCAAGGAGCCAGTGAGTCCTTTACTTCAGCACTTGGCTGACAGTAGCCACCACTAGAGGCTTAAGATGCAGGATCTCCCCGCGGAGGTACCTTTGCCACTGTGCACAAGCAGAGATCGGGCTCTTAGGGAAGATGACTCGACACAGCCGTTGGCTGCTCCGGGATGTTAATAATTCTGGCTGCATTTTTCGCTACTGGCCAGTCTGGCAACACGCTACTTTGCAGCTTGGTGCTTTCTCTGCCATCTCTTGCTTCTCTCACTGAGCACCTTCAGTCACGCAGTGTGCTTTTTGTAGAAGTTATTAAGGGCAGTGGTCACAACATGGGGCTGGAAGCCAAAACTTTTAATTCCCTAGAGACAAGAAAGCAATCTGAGAGGAGGGAAGAGGTCCACCAAAAACTAAGATTTCAAATCTTGAACATCCTAACAAACATAGTTTTCCAGTATTCGGGCTGTGGTCTCATTCTCTTGAATTCAAGTGAAAAACTGTTGCTGTTGTGACTGTCCAAGGCCTTTTTTTCCATCTTACATTTTGTTCTTTGCTTCTGCTGTTTTCAATTGCCATGCCAAAGTTTCTCCTGTTTATTCTAATTGTTTTAGTGTGTCTGACTCTCATTGGTTTATATGTTTAGTCTTGTCCTGATTTAATATGAATTAAAATGCCACTGCCACGACCAGTCTGCAAACATGAGTCAGAAGAGAAACTATTTCAATAATACTATGGCCGGCACCCGCCTGGTTTGATATCTTGATCCTATAGAATAATGCGGGTTTTGTTGTCTACTACTATTGCCTGGTATTGCCAATGAAGTGTTGATTGTGATTGTGACCACAAGTATGTTTTGTTCCTGGTCCTATTAAGCCAAAAGAGTGTGGTTTACTGCATGTATGTACGTGAGGCTGTTTTGATTATACAAAGTTCACTTTAGAAAACCCACACTCTGCCACTGCAGCGCTACAGGACAATGAGAGAAGAATTTCCAATGAGAACAGTATTTTAAAAGCAAACCGCTGGGCCCCTTCCCTGTAAAAGGACGTTAAGGCACACTACCCTTTCTTCTGAATTTGATTATTTCTCAAAATGACAAGCGAATGCTGTCTTCAGCAGAAGGTCCCCTTTCTTTCCCTTCTCGTTCATTATGTAAGGCGTAGCAAATTTCAAATTGCACATTCCCGTGGCACCCAGACATTACGCTTCTTCAAATCATCGGTTTACTGCGCTGAGTAAAAACATTCGACGGTAACTTCTTGCGCTCGGTCAGTCTGGCTGCCACATGGCCGCTGGCAGCTTCGGGCTGATCTTTCGGATTGTCGGTACCTTGCCCCTGAAGACCTGGGGATATTCACCAGTTAACGCCTGCCACCCTTAGGTTCTGGCTCTCCAGAATTAGGGCGAAGTCAGTGTTCTGGAGAGCCAGCGTTGCACCCCAGCAGCTCGAGTTGTAACACAGCATTTAACCTCTGGCAACGCGCTTATCTTCTAGGAAAAACAGGCTTCAGTGCCTGAGCAGTGAATAAGCCCATCAAACGCAACGTGGCCAGAAATGTGCCTGACCTCCTTCACACCACTCTCCCTCCTAATGAGGTTTACTCACTCTCTTCCAGCAGATGACAGACGGGCAGTTAACACACTCGCCTCGCTCTCCACATCTTCTCCTAGCTAAAACCTCGGCATAAATAACAAATTCATGAAAATCTGGTGCTCTTTTGTCCCCCCTGAAACAAACCCTAGCTTTAAACCTAGAATATGCAACCTCCCTACACTGCAGGCATACAAACAGGAAAGAAAAACCCTCCTTGTATCAATCCTAATCTGGCAGTTTTTTAAGAAAGCTTGCTTATCATTCTCTGTTTCACTCCTTTGCTCCCATTTAGAGGCATCCCTGCCCACAGCTTAACGCTTTCAGGTCATTTTACCAAGATTTTTGTAACACTGGATACATCCAAACTCTGTCTACGAGGGTACCAAATGGAGATTTCAGTCTGACTGAACACTTGCCAGCAAAATTTAAACCCATTCCTTTCCCAAGTTTATGAAGTGCCTGAAATCCTGTGCTCGTAACCGGGAATGAGGCTGGCCGTTCTTTCCCAGTTGAATCAAATTAGCTTATCACTAATAAAAAGCCCTTCACTGCTCCTTAAGTAGAGGCTAATGCTGGTGAGTCAGATACATTCTTGTGATAGCATTTGTTCAGTTTAAGAAACTCTCAGCTGACTGAAGAGTGAAAGAGCTTTTTTTTTTTTTTTTTCAAGCACTTAATCTCAGTGTTACAGCATCTATGGCTACAACCCACGGTTTAATCTCTAGTTACAGTACAGCCAGTTAATGAGCCTTCAGATAAGTGCCTGCATTTCCATCACAGCAAACTTGAAGCTAAAAAAAAACACACGGGAGCTTTCCATTTGTTGGCCTTGTTTGTTTTGTTTTGTTTAACTGTCAAGAAAAAACTCAGGCGCACGGTTGTCAGTAGTGCTTAAAGCTGTAGGCAATTTTTGAAGTCTTTTTCCATATTTTAGAGAGAAAGGAAAAGGAATTTCTTGAGAGTAGAGCACCATGCCTTGTGTTTCAACGTAACGTCACAAGCATCTGATCACTCACACACACGTAACGTCAAGATCAGTTCTCCAATATCTTTCTCTGACTTACAACACAACTATTCCTCTTGGAAAACCGCCAGTGCGTGCTGCAGATTACATAAAGCATTACATCTTTCTGACATAGGTTCTATGATTTTTAAAGTGTTTTTACAGTGCACGTCTATGACTACATTGCACTTACTCCCCAGCATAACCTTCTGATCATGTCTTCTACACTTTCTTGACCCACAGGCTTTGATTGTCTGCTGATTCACATTGAGGAATTGATTTTTTTTTTTTTACTGCAGAATTCCCAGCAGAGCGAGCTGATGCAGCCCAGACACATACACTTTTAAATCCTATGTTAACCAAGTCTGCGTACGTAGTTTGAAACCAGATGTGTTTAATGTAGTGCAAATAAAGAACTGGTTTGCAAGTTTACTGGGGCTGACAAGGTCAGGCCGTTTAGGTTAGCATTTGCACCATTGCCAAGTCTCACAGTTCTGTTTGAATTCTTCCGATATTCAGTATTCGTTACGAAACCCAGGTTGCTCAAACCAAAACTTTATTTTTTAAAAAGTTTCTAAACCTTACCTATAAGCTAAAAAAGAATAAGGAGGAGGCACTCGGGCCTCGTTGTCAGAGCAAAATGCCCAGAGGATGAATCAAAAGGCACGAGGACGTTCCTTGAAATAAATAAATAAATAATAATAATAATAAATAAATCGGTTCAAAAAGCAGAGGTGCTTGGTTTCCTGAGGGCTCACTTCTGTTTCTTGGTCTGAATGGCTACGAGCAGCTCGGTGGCCTTTCTTTCTCGCTGTCCCATGAAACGAAGCCTGTAAATAATCAACTTCTGACCTGCTTTTTTTTTGTTTTGTTTGTTTGTTTTGTTTGTTTGTTGTTTTTCACGGGAAGTTTGTTTTCCGACACGAAGCCTCCTTCCTCGCTTTCCTGGCGGCCTCAAACGCTTGGAGCCGAGCTGCCCCAGCCGAGCCCCTTCGTTTACCTCCACAAACCTTCGGCCTGGCGAGCTGGGCTGAGGGCCCGCCTCCTTCCTCCTGCCTCCCGCCTCCCTCCCGCCTCAGAGCCCCCCGGCCGCGCAGCACCGAGGCCGGGCGCCCCCTTCTCCCCCAACCCGATCCCGCGGCGCGTCCCTGCGGCGGGTACTGACCTGACGAGGTCGGTGACGCAGGATCCCACCACCACCACCACGGGGGCAGCCATGGGGCCGGGCCCTGCCCCTTGCCCCTTGCCCCTGTCCCCAAGGCCTCAGCAGGCCGCGCCGCGCTTCCCCCGTCACCATAGCAACGCCGGGGGGGCCTTCCCCCAGCGGGGCTGCCCTGCGCGAACGCCTGCTGGCGGCGGGCAAACCCCAGCCCGGCAGCGCGGCGGCGGCTAGGCGGCGAGGCCCCCTCCGGCCCGGTTGCGGGGGGCGGGTGGCGGTGGCGGCGGCGGGGGCGCGCACGCCGGGCGGCGGGGCGGGCGCGGGGGCGCGCACGCCGGGCGCGGCCGTTGCTAAGGGGCCGTAGGTAATGGCGGGGCCGGGGGGGGGAGCGGGCGGCCCGCAGCGCCTCCGACGGCCCCCGGGGAAGCGAAGGGGGGGTGGACCCGGCACCGGCATCGGGCTCGTGTCCGTGTCGTGCCCCTCCGGGGGGTAAAAGCCCCCAGGGGGCGGTGGGGAGGCCTGAGAGGGGCGCCCCCGGCCTGCTGTGAGGCAGGGCAGGGCAGGGCAGGGCAGGCCGCAGGGCTTCACCCGCAGCGGGATGGGGCTGCCCCGTGCCGGGTTCTGGGAGGGGAGCAGCCTGGAGAGATTTAACTTATTTATTTATTTATTTAATGTTTTATTTTTATCTTTTTAGGTTTGTTTGGTGTCTACGCTCGCCCCCATAGCGCTGCGGGGGGGGAGGGGGGGAATGGTGTGCGTGGGGGCTGAGCCTTGCAGGAGTTGTGGAGTGGTGTGGTGGGGTGTAAAGCCCGCTGTTTGCTCAATAAACGCGTGAGGTGAACGCCGAGCGAGCCTGTGAGTGCTGGGTGTTAACGGGCTCCTTACATAGGACATATTACAGATCTGGAGAAACGGCGCAATAAAGCCAGGTGACACTGGCAGCTTGTTTTGATGGTATCTGCAGGTTTTGTTAATGGGAAGATAAAGAACCTCATCCTGTAATTCATTCTGGAAGGTGTCTCTTTTCCCCACGTTTCTCTTCGTGTCATGGCCTTACCCTCATAACATCCACAGTTCCCTCAAAACGTGTCACATAAGCAGAACCACCCGTGAGACCTTTGTGCATAAAACGCTAGGAAGATAGCTTGTCTTTCAGCACGCTTTTCATGGCCTCCAAAACCTTCAGCAGTCCAGCTGGCCCCTCTGCCTGAAGTTACTCTCCCTACACTAGAGCTGATGGAACAAAACGTGCCCAGTTTTAGCCAGCCTTGCACAAAATCTAGCGTTTTAGTTTAAGCTCATTACCTGTTCGAGCTAAGCTGTTGGACTTTGCATTGAAATAGGTCAAGTCTGGACTTGTGTTCTCAGCTTCCCTAGGTAAGGATAAAGGTGAGTAGGCAGTCGTTTGGGGCAGAGGAATAACAACCATGAAGTAATGTCTTGAATTGCCATAGATGTTTGCCAGGCAAGCTTCAGTTTTTACCTATTGTCAGGGTAAATCATGTATGTGAAGAGAGCTAGTTGTACATTAGTACGTGGATGTTCACTCTTCAGCTTCTTTAGCTGCCATAAAATGTAAAATACAGCATATTAAAGGCAATTATTATTTTTAGGAAATTCTTGTTAGTTTTGTGCTGAAAGAGCCTGGCCTTTGCTTTATTCAGAATTCCTCTTTGTTGAGCGTTCATTCATACTTCGGTGTGAATGGCTTTCATAAGAACAAAACACATAACTCAAATGTTTAATGTTGCTGCCAGTTAAAAGGAATGATCAGTTTGCAAAAAAATATCCACTAGTTACCAACTAATGCTTGTAAATGGAGCATTAGAAACAACAGAGAAGTATTGTGAGTACAGCACTCCATATGCAGTGTTATTTATGAATGCAGATGAGTAATTAAGAGGTTGTCAAATCATAGAATAGAATCACAGAATAGTTTGGGGTGGAAGAGACCTTAAAGGTCATCTAGTTCCAACTCCCTGCTATGGGCATGGGTGCCACCCACTAGTGGGTCATGTCTCTAATTTTGTAAGGAAGTAAATACAGTCTGGAGGGCTGTTTTTCAATTGAATGGGTTTAAAAAAAATCCATTAACAGTCAGAGTCTGAGTATCGGGTCTTCTGCCCAACTTCTCACTGTCATTGTGACATTACACTCAGTTGTTTGTGGTTATGGTTGTATTTTTGTAAAACTGCAAAGTTCAGTTAATTTTCAGATGGACCTGTGTGCCCAAGAACTTGATCAAGTGTATTAAATTTGCATTTTGATAGGTTGCTTACCCTTTTCTTCTTCAACTTTGCCTGCCACAGTCTGTTGTAGTCCACAGTGTCTAGCCTTTTTGCATGGGACTGGATTAAATTACCAGCAGTGCTCAGTGTCTGCATATCATCTAAAAAGCAGCAGGTTCTTAAAGTGTGGTTAGTGGCCCAAGTGATTTAGCACAAGGCCATGCACTTGCAAGCGCCTCTGAAAAAGCTGTGCTTAAAGTTCGTATATATGGGTCTCTTGATGAGTTTTGTGCCTGAGGATGCCTTCCAGAGCGTGGTGATATCACTGAAAGAAAGGTAGTGCAAGCCTTTGAAGGAAACCTGAAATGCTGTAAGTAGCAACCTAGTGGAGTACTGTAGAAGTAATACTGATTATGGTTCTACTCATCGTAGTTGTATTCGATGTTACAAATGAGAATATGGAGAGAGCGTGAAGCCCTTGGTCCCATAGCAATCAGTAACTTTTTTCTCCCTTATTCTATACAGCTCAAGACGAGAGGAAAGAGGAACGCCCTAAAATGTCACCTGAGGTTGCCTTGAACAGAATTTCTCCGGCTCTTTCACCCTTCATTTCCAGTGTCGTCAGAAATGGGAAAGTGGGCTTGGATGCTACTAATTGTTTACGCATTACAGACTTGAAATCTGGGTAAGTGTTTGAGTTCCCTATCCAAAAAGAACATCCAACCCCTAATAACAGTTCAGATGTCTTTTCAGGACTCATTTTTATTAGGTCAACAAGTATTTAAACACTTCCAATATATCTGGAAGTGACATACTATCTGGACTGCTTTTTTTTTTTTCTCATTACTATTTTGTATTTTGTGGAATTTAATTTGTCATATTGTTGGCAATAATAATCTTGTTAAGACACTTCCATCACTGCCACTTGATAGTGCTGGTTTTCAGCAGCAAGATAGCTATAAACACTTTTTCCTTTTGTTTATCACTTGCTTACTCAATCTTTCCTGTAAATTAAAATCTCAAAGATAAATTTTTATGACCTTACCACAGGTCATGAATATGGTAAATAAGAAAACAACAACAACAAAAAACCACCTTTATCTGACCTTCGTTGAGATCAGTACGTCAAGTGGCAGTAGGCTGTAGGGTTTGAAATAGGCCAAGCTACTATTTTTAGCTTTAATTCTAAAAGGATGCATGGTAGGTCTCAGAAGATGATGAAGCTTGGGGCCCACATGTGGGAAGGGACTCTGATGTGTAACCTCTGTGAGTAATACATGTGGGAAGTGACATGTTAATGTAGACTTTACTTTGGATGTTGTGCAGAGAGGGGAGACTCTCGAGGTGGCTGGTAATTGTTCAGATGAGAGGTATCAGAAATTGCTTTATTCTTCCAGAGCTGGGCATCTAACCACATCACTGACTGAGGTACTTCCTTGAGACTGGAGTACAAAGCCTGAGCTTATTTCAGCTTTGTGAGGTGTCTAAATCACCACTTTGATGCAATCTAGCCGTTTGTGTATCACTTTGAACGATAGCTTAGTCCAATAGATCTTGAGAACCACCGTAAATCACTATTGTTTAGAATTTAGTTCTAGTGAAACAGCTTAATGTGCTTCTGTAGTCTGCCTTGTTAGGGTTCCATGGGCAGTCTGGGAAGTGCTTTTCCAGTAGCTCCAATGCCTTTTCAGGAAGGAGGTCTGAGTTCTATGGTTAGTGTGAAAAGAATCATTCCCTCTTCTTGAGCGTGCTGTGACAGAGTGCAGGTTTGCTTGGAGGTCTAAGAAGCTCTGACTTTTTGTGTTGTCTGGTTTGGCATTTAGGCTTGCAAATTATGCAAGGCAGCCTGAGCAGTTTTGCGTCCGTAGCTCTTGCTTCACACTCGGCCTTGCTTTATCTTGAACTGATTTCAGAAGGCTGAGATGGGAGCTATCTTACATTGCTCCTATTGAATCTGTGAAAAAGGAATACAAAAAAACCAAACCAACAAAACTAGAGAGAAAGCACGGCTGTAATCTGGTAATGAAGGCATCAGCTTGTCATGACATAGATAAGGGTTTTGCTCAGCACCCACTGACTGCTTATGTTGCCTTTAAAATAATAGATAAAAATAAAGCAGTGTTTTCTAGCTAACTTTTCAGAGGTTTTTAGTAAGTGTCTGAAGTTTTCAGCCAGTGATCTTACTGAGGTGATCTTGAGTTTGCTTTGCTAACTGTTGAACGTTTTCCAAGGGTTTATTCTTTAAGTTAAACTAAAAACCTGCCCCCAGCTATGCCTGTCAGCCAAACCCAGTAATTCAAATTCTATAGTAACTGTATTGAATATGGAATGTAGAGCACAAATACAGCCCCTGAGATAGATTTGTCCCACATCTTGTTTAAAGGCATGGGCTCTGCTATATGCAAGTGCTAGAAATATTTTTTTTCTTTTTCTGGAACACAGAAATACACCTCATTTTTACATTGAGGTTTCTGTATAGCTTGATGTTGCTAAGAGCTGAAGTTAGCATAATCAAGATTTTACATTTATGTGAGAATATTTTTAAGGTGTTATTTCTTGTGCAACTAAGTTTATCTAAACTGCTATTCTGAAGCATGGTTCGTTAGCAAACAATTAATTGAAATTTCTTTTAAATGTAAAATTCTGCGTATGTGCAGTTTTAGGACAGGTCTTTATTTGTCACAAAGAAATTATGACTTATTTGTAGTAGAATGTTCTGAATTTATGTATCACTGTGGAAGTTCCGTGTGATTTATTCCTTAATGATGTCACTTAGCATGTGAGCAGTATAAAATTACTTACAGAACGTAACATGGGTGCATCACAGAATTGGAGAAGTCCCATGCATAACTCAATATCTACTTCAGTGGTCTTTAACCTTTGGTGTAGGAGCCCTGGAAATCCACAGACCTTCTGAGATGCTCAAGATTAACAACAAAACCCACAAACTCACCCAAGTTGAGAGATTTAAATTTGCTTCTAAGGGAGAGTTTTGTAGGTCTCTGAGTGTCTGAAGATTGAAAATCTTTGGT